AGGGTTCATGCTGTGTGGAACAGCAGCAGTGCGAAATTGGGCTGGGTGCGGTATGGCCCGCACCTCGCTGGGCAACGCATTCCAGAGCCTAGCTCCTTGGAACGCGAGACAACCCTTACCCAGCTCAGTGCGGGTTGGCGGTGGTCTTAGACCCATCGATGATTGCAGCCGAGTAGGAGCGCCGCTGGTTGGTAGCAACAGCACTTGCAGTGTGGGGCTAGCACGGGAGTAGCGGCAGCGCCAAACCAGGAAGATGAGCTTCTGGATGAAGATCTCCCGGACACGGTAGGCGCCGAGTTGGACTAGCAGGTTTCTGGCAGAGGTGCGCGGCGAGCATCCGTACACAGCTCGAGCCGCACGATTCTGCAGAACTTGGAGACGGTCCAGGTGCTTACCCGCCAGCGATGCTGAGAAGGCATTGGAGCCATATGAGAAATCAGGCATTATCACAGACTTGAAGTACTGGATGCGGCTTTGCATGCTGAGGCAGCGGCGCATCCGCCACAGCACACCGACTTTTTTGTTGAGGCGGGCAACGCACCTATCCATCTGGGTGTTCTAAGACATGGCGCTGTCAATGTGAACTCCGAGGTAGCGAGCAGAAGAGACAGATGGCAGCTTAGTCCCATGACACCATACGTCCAGTTCAGTTTGCGCTTCTAGCTTCCCAGCCGGTACTACCAATGCCTGACTTTTTGATGCATTAAGGATCAAACCTCGCTGCTTCAGCCAGTCAGCAATGCATGTCACTGCTCTGGAGAGAGTGGCGGTCAGTTCCTGTTGTGTTGGGCGACTGCAGGTCAGTGCGATGTCATCTGCGAACTGGATGGACTCGGCTTGCTGGGCAACAGATGGTATGTCCCGGGTGTAAAGGCTGAACAGCAGTGGACCTAATACCGACCCCTGTGGTACTCCACAGGAGCAGGCTGCCACTGTGCTAAGCTGGGATCCCAGCTGGACAATCTGGCAGCGATCAGACAAGTATGACATGAGCCACTGGAGCGCTGTTCCAGTGACGCCCACACAGAAGAGATCTTCGACTAGTTGCTGGTGGCGAACCTTGTCGAACGCCTTCGACATATCCAGGAGGACCACACCCGTGAACATGCGGCGGTCTCTTGAGGCGAGGATCCTGTTGACCATCAACACAAGGGCATCCTCCGTGGAATGTCCTGTCCAGAATGCAAACTGTGTGCTGGGCAGAGAACCAGCCATATCCAGAAAGGTGACAAGTGCCTTCTGCACCACCTTCTCTAGCAGCTTCGAGAGAATTGGGAGCAGGGACACAGGACGGAAATTGTTGGCGACAGATGGATCGCCAGCCTTGTGCAATGGGGTCACATACGCACGCTTAAAGCCAGCGGGTAGTGCCGGAGGTCAGGGACGCATTGAAAAGTGCTGCAACTGATGGTGCTAGCAGGTCGGCACAGTACTTTAGAAGTAAGCCTGGGATGCCGTCGCTCCCGGTTGCTTTGCGCGGGTCGATGCGCTTCAAAAGCTGTTCAGCATCGCAGACACGCACATGTTGGAATGAGGTCAGGGCAGACCGAGGCTGTGGACCCTGAGGCATAGAGAGCACTGAAGGTCGAGCATCATCAGAGACTACCTTGCCAAACGTGGACGCGACATGTTCGATGTCGCATGTCGGCTGGATTGATTGTCTCTTGCGTCCAGTCACAGTATTTAGGACTGACCATAACTGGCGTGGGTTCTGGCAATTATCTTGGCACTGACTTTGGAAGTACTGGTTGCGTTTGCACCTGTTTGTATTCGCAGCAACCGAGCAGGCACGTCTATATGCTGCGTGAGCTTCAGAGTTGGCTTTGTCAGCAAGCCACTTTCGATGCAGACAACGCTTCAGCTGGTTTATCTTGTATAGCTCTCTGTCAGACCATGGAGGATGGAGCTTGCCTGTCTTAATCTTGCATTGCTGCAATGGCGCATGCCTGTCGAGGACAGAAAGGAATCGTTGATGCCAGTGGTCCCACATGGCTTGCACATCAGAGTCTGGTGGGTACACAATGTACGACTACTGAAACGCTATCTACTATTCAGGTTTTTACAGTGCCGTTTCCATGGTTGTAGCCAATGAGCGACGTTCCCGCGGTGGCCTTGATGAGCCGATAAAGGCCTGCACGCTGTCAGCCTAGCTCTACAGTGCAGGGGACTGCGTCAGTTTTCCGTTGCCATCTCAGTTCATCTCAGGACCTTGCCGTCCTTGGCTTTAGTCTAGAGGAGAGTAGAGTAAGTACATGGTTGAAACCAGGTCTACAATCATGTAGATTGGGCATGCCTGTAGACATGACCTCATGCCCAGTTCTGTTCATTGATGTAATAAACATACAAGTACTATGATGTAGGTAGCAAAGGTGGCTACATGTAGTAAGCAATCCAGTATTCTACAAGCTAATGCAGTAATGGCGATGTTGACAACAGGTTTGTACGCGTGTCAGGAAAGGAGTGACAAAACTAAACAGCTACAACCTGAAAACAATTCAAAACATTCTTCTTCTTCAAGGCCAAGGGAAAAATGGCAAGAGTTCTTGCCATCACGTCCCCGAACTACTTCTTCTAAAAAAATGGCAAGAGATCCGTCCACCACGCCCCCGACCTCCACCCCTAGGTGGTGTCGCGCTTATATACAGTTCGCAAGTGAAACCTGACCATGAATCAAGGCCAAGGGCGCAGGCCAAGGCGCGTAGCGCGCGGCCGTACGCATGAGCTTTGGCAATTCTGCAACTACTTCTTCTAAAAAAATGGCAAGAGATCCGTCCACCACGTCCCGACCTCCACCCCTAGGTGGTATCGCGCTTATAAACAGTTTCAAAGAATGCCAGTGAAAACATGACCATGACTCCGATGAGCGTACGGCCAGGCAGGCCCAAGCCAAGGCCCGGGCGCTGGCCAAGGCGCGTAGCACAGTAGATCTACGCACGAGGCCTTCATGTACTGATGTAAGCGAAAATTGATAAGATCATCGCGTGTCAGCAAAGGGGTGATAGTGTAGCCACCACGTCCGCGACCAACCTACTTCAGTACTTGTTCTTGAGCATTGAGCAAAGAAAAAAGGCAACAGGTCTAGCCACCACGTCCCCAACCTCCACCCAGTGGCGTGCACCGAGTCTTGAAAGGGGGGTTTCTAGAGTTGGTAATTTTTTCTGGAGACCCACTGTATAATTTTGTATCTGTGCACATGCGCATCCCCGGAACATCCCATCGGAGATAATGGCTAGGGAGGAGGGAGGGGGAGGGGACTCAAGATCAGGGGTGCAGGGCACCAATGAACACTGGTGCTGATGAGATGCGGGGCTTGTCCGACTGCTATCATCAGATCATGCCGGCACAAACGCGTCAGAGAGGGAACCAGGTACAGGGGTAGAAAGGATAGAAATAAGAGGAATGGAGGGAGGGGACGATGTTGCATGGAAATGTTGGTACATGTGTAACCGGTAACAGGATATAACGGGTTACCATGGTTACCTCTTACATACCAGCACTTCAAAAAGCATTTGCAAAGAGGGTGCAAAAGTCAATGTACTTGTATACAATCACATAGTTGTCATATTGAAGTTTTGAACACGTAAAAGTTTGATAGGCCTAGCCGCCCAGGCTACACTACAGTCTATAAGACTAGTATAAGTTAACAATATGTCTATGGTACTTCACCAGTCCACTCCAGTCCAGGCATGTTTGTTTCATCATAACACTGCTTACATTCGACGGATCTTTCTTTCTGTTCTTATGACGAAGTTTTCAGCATGTATTGGCAATGTTCAACATGATTTCAATAAAGAGTTATGGGCCTTGCTTCGATGGAAGCTTGCGGAAGAAAAGCAGAGCCCCGCGTCCTTGAGTCGCGGCTGGAGCAGCGCTTCGTTCTGAAGCAGCGCATGTGGATCATGGACGCACATTTTTACATCTTCCAGTCGACAACGTTTTTGACGAACATCTCTGCTGCGCACATGAGCGAGAACGAAAGGCTGTGGAGATCTTGATTTGAGTCAACACTTTGGAAGGAGATATCGTCAATCATATCCTTGAACTGACTTGCCAGGGGCGTCGCACACGGTACGGTCACTACGGTATTGACCGTACCACTTTTTGCCCCAGATACCCGTGAGTCAACAGAATACACTGATCTGGGATCTAAAATTCCAAAATTTTCGTCTCAGCCACCACTCCCCCACGAGTCAATTGTACTTCAGATGGCTGACCGTACCACACTAAAATACCTTCCGACGCCCCTGCTTGCATCGCGCGTGCTTGACTCAAATTTCGAGACAGAACGGATTTCTTGAACGTCATCGCAAATCCAGGAGCGAACCAGAGCTAGAGATCAATCTCTCTGTCGCTACTCTCCACTGAAGAAAGAGAGAATAATGTATTTTGAACTACATGCAAAGCAACTCTCTCTCACTTCGAAATAAGGACATAGTCACTGAGTCTGTACTGTAAACTGCCCGTCGATCGACGCGTATGCAGGATAACCAATCCAGTAGGCGCGCTTTTCCTTCGGCAAGATTGTCCGAAAAAAGGTGGTTTCCAGACACCAAAAACTCATACGGTGCACGCGCCTGCCACCCCTATGTGGTATATAGCTTATAGTTATACCGTCTACGCGGCTCAAAGGATGTAAGTGGAAACCTGAAACACGATCATAGAGTTCTGGCAGGACTTTCCGCCTTCATCAAGGCCTCGTGCATACGGCCGCGGGCGCAGGCCTCGGCGCTACGCGCCTTGGCCTGCGCCCTTGGCCGTATGCACTCGGCCTTGATTCAGCCATAAAGACTTAAGTCCTGCCAGAACTCTATGATTGTCTACCTAGTATGCAGTCCTACTCCTAGATCCTTGCACTAGCACTTGAAAGACTACAGAGTACAGTCAGTCAGTGAGGCTACATACACTACCTAGGCTACAGCCAGTGCGGCGGACGGTAGATCTACACTACATACAGAGTCAGTCAGTGATATACACCCGATACTAGTGATAGTGATACAGCCGCCACGAGAGAGACAAAAGCAACAGCCACACAGAAGCCGTCCAGATATCAGTTCATTGCAGTTTGCAGTTCGCAGTTTTAGTCCGAGAAAGACGCTTTCACCTGGCAAAGAGTACCTAGCGAGTGGATTGGAGCACGCTGAGCCAGCAAGATGGCGACCATTGCCAGCCTACTGTTGGTTGCGTTAGTTGCCGTAAGTTTGCGCATGTGGTTGCTGTTCGCTGGCTCTTTGTTTGGTGTTTTGTAGATCGCGTTTCATACTGTCGTTCTCGGTACGGGGTTTTGTGTTTTGGCCTTATCTCCTCCGTCAGGTGGCGAGTGGAAGGTCACCAGCGATTGATGTTGTTCAGCCATCGGAGAACGTTACCTCAGGTAAGAGCTGCAATCGATCGCGTAGCTGCGTGAGCATGGTGAATCCGCCTGCGCTTTTTGCTGGTGGTGGGTTTGTATGTGTTTGTGTGATGTCTGTTCGTAACATTGCGACACATCCTATGTGGTGGTGTCGCTCAGTCATCTACGCTGAGCATTCACAGTCGCTAGTGCCTACGTGCGAAACTGCGTCGATGGCGAGCGCTATTTCCTGATCTTGTAGCGTTCACCCTATAATTGGCCTATGTTGCTGTGCGCCTCTGCCTCTGGTGAGCGGGAGCATTCGCTGAGGTCCACCACCACCACCAGGGCAGGAGGTGTTATTCGCACCGGAGCTGCCTGTCCCAAACCATGAAAACTGGCTGGATGATCAGTCACGGATTGCCAGTACTGCAATGGCAATCGCATGGACTTTCGCCACTCCAGGCTCGCATTATGCGCTATCAGTATCACAGTCATCAAAATGGATATTGAGAATGTGTGGAAGTAGTAACTAATACTTGAAGTGCCAGGAAGAACCCCCGCACCTTCCGTACTGCCCTGCAAGGATTTGTTGGAAGGCAGTGGTGGATCGGCAGGGATATCCCCGGGAATGGCAGAGTGTTGTTCGTAGACATCGCTGTAGTGTTATCTGTAGAAAGGTAGTTTTCAGAGTGACACGACAGGTACGAACCTAGCCGGGGGAAGATCCTTCAGCCACTGCTGTTCGTAGACCAGTTTTTGTGTTGTTTATTTATTTTACATCGCATGGCAAACGGGCAGTTCTGCCCAATATTATGAAAGCGGTGACAACCAGTAAGAAGAGTCAGAAATGAAGAGAAAAAAGAAAGAAAAAATACGAAAACGGAAGTAGCAATGAGGGGAGGCAGGGTCAAGACGAGCAGAAAAAATGGATCTCAAATTTACAAGTCAGGTCATCATAGCATGATTCTATCGAGTCTCATCAGCAGGTTACGAAAGCCATTACATTTAACCGAAGTAGAATACGCGTAGCATGCGTTTGAATTCACGGACAGATACTATGGACTTCATACAGTCGGGCAGGCCATTCCAGAGTCGGCAGCTGGCTAGAAGCGGTCGGCATGCGCCAGAAGCACTGTGGGCCAGGGGGAGGGGAAGGTTGCGTCCCAATTGACCTCGAGTGGTCATGCCTGTCGGCGGGCCTTGCAATACAATTCGGGACGACAACAGCTCACTGACGATTCCAGAACGGATTCTAAATGGCAGGAGTCGGAGCTTGCATTCCCCTCGTTCCAGCACTGGGCAGACACCCAGCCTGGTGTACAGGGGAAGAGTGTGGGCCAATGGGTGCTCATCGGCCACGCAACGGATGCAACGTTTATCCAGTTTGGCTACTGTGTTCCGCTGCTCAGTGGACAGTCCTGGGAGAAACGCATTCGACGCATATAGAATATCCGGTATGACAAGGGCAGAGTAATACAGCATCGCCTGCCGCACTGTTAGGCAGTGCCGGATCTGGCGGAGGATCCGCAGCTTCATAGCCGTGCGTCGGACGATAGAGGTGACCTGCGGTGACCAGCGAAGATTTTCGTCCAGAGTGACTCCGAGGTAGCGAGCCGTACTGGTCTGGGCAAGAGGCGTGACAGTGCAAGTAATGTGGAGGTCGAGGTGTGCCTGCCGTCCAGCTTTGATTGCAAGCACTTGCGTCTTTCCGGTGTTGAGGATAAGCCCTTTGGCATCGAGTAGCCTGGCGACAGCTGACACTGCTGCGGAAAGGGTGATGTTGATGGCGTGAGCGCTAGCGTGGCTCAGGTACAGCATGATGCCGTCCGCGAACATTAGTGTACGCACTGGGTCAGCTACTGATGCGACACATCTTGTGTAGATCGCGAATAATATCGGACCAAGCACGCTTCCCTGGGGGACACCGCACGTGCAAGCTGTTTCCTCTGAGCGTGTACCGTTGGCAGTGACCACACACTGGCGTCGTGCGCTGAGGTAGTCCGCAAACCAGTCCAGTGCCGTAGAGGAGACACCAAGTTCGAAGAGATCCTGGAGCAAGGTCTGATGTTGGACCTTGTCGAAAGCTTTGCTCATATCAATGAGCACCACGCCGGTATGCAGGTGCTGGTCTGCGGCTTCGTAAAATTGATCCACAGCCAACAAGACTGCGTCCTCTGTGGAGTGGTGGGCTCGGTAAGCAAATTGCTCGGCAGGAAGGAGGCCATGTTCGGTTAGGAGCACACAGAGCCTTTTATGCACAATCCTTTCCAGGATCTTTGAAACAACCGGGAGCAAAGATATAGGGCGGTAGTTCTTAGCAGTTTCGGGGTCTCCTGCCTTGAAAATGGGGCGAATATGGGCCAATTTCAGCATCATCGGAACCTTTCCCATGGCCAGCGACGCGTTCATCAAGATAGTCAGTGACGGGGCCAGGACCCGAGCGCAGTGTCGCAACACATAGCAGGGAATTCCGTCGCTACCCGTGGCCTTCCTCTCGTCTACCTTCAGTAGGAGAGCAAGCACTTCTTCGCACGTGGCTGGTTCGAAGCGGTTCAAGCCATCTGCTATACCCGGTCCCTCAGGTTGGGATAGGACATCAGGTCGCTGCGGATCGCTGACAACTGAACTGAATTGGGCATTGAGGGCAGACGCAGTGAGCCGAGTAGGAGTTGACGATTTCTTCCGACCGCAGAGGTCGTTGAGAACCTTCCAAGCTTTCCGGGGGTTGGATTGACACGTGTCCAGTAGTTGTGTGTAGTAGGATGATTTCAGCTGACGAGCAAGCCGCTTTGCTGCTTTGCGGGCATCTGAAAATGTGTCGTAAAGTTCCGTGTCCGTAGGTTTTCGGAGCCAACTATGGTGGGCATGATTTCGTTCGCGGACTGCATCATGGTAAACGGCCGTTTTCCATGGGGATCTTGTGAGAATCTGATGTCTAGAGCTGGATAAGCGGTGCTCCTGGACAGGAGCATGCCTGTCAAGGAGTGAGGTGACCTTGTCATACCATAGCTGCCACATATCTTCCAAGGATTTCGCCGTGCTGAAATCTTCTAGACGAGAGTTGACAAAGTCCTGGCAGAGCTGCGGAAGATTTATTCCTCTGGTGTTTCGGCTAGATCTGAGTACTGGAACGGTTGGCATTTCGAAGGCAAGGGTAGCCAAGATGGGGAGGTGGTCACTGAGGCTATGCGGGAGAACGCGGCAAGAGCCCACTGCACCGTCCTCAGCCAATAGGAGGTCTATGGTGGTTCTGGACCCACCACGTCCAACACGCGTTGATTCAGTGAAGTGGTTCAAAATACAAAAGTTACCGCAGAAGTGTTGAAGCTGCGTCAGCTGGGCGGCTCTGGAAGACGATGTGTCGATATTGAAATCTCCGACCAAAGCAATAGGCGTGCCGGCCCTGGGCGCGTGGACTGAGTCCACAGCGTCAGTCAGCTTGTCCCAGTACGAGACCAGCGACCCAGGAGGTCGGTAGACTGTGCCGAGGATTAGCTTACCATTGAGGCCGTGAACGAGGAGAAAGAGAAGTTCAAGATCACCACGAGCAAAGTCCTCTAGCCGAGTAACATGAAGTGAGCTCCGTACATAGGCCGCTACTCCACCACCGAAGCCAGGTCTGTCTTGACGGACAAGTTTATAGTTTGGGATGTTGACAAGGCTGTCCGGGGTCTCTGAGGTCAGGAATGTCTCGGCAAGACACATTATGTCTATGTTGTGCTTGTGGATGAATTCCTCGACCTCGTCCTTCTTGGTAAGCAAGTGACAAATGTTGAGGAAACTAATCTGGAGGCCCGCTATCTCAGACTGAGAAGCACTACTAGCACTGGTGATCGGGGGTGGTTGAGATCTAGTACCTAAACTATGATGATGATGCAAAGGGTCACGGGATTGAGTGAAAAGACCCGGAAAAAAGGGGGCGGCATTAGGATTAAGGTCAGACATAGGTGAGAATAATGATAAGAAAGTTAGGCAAACGGCCAATCCCCAGTCAGCGATGCGCGCCAGGTTCGGGTAGTCTCCAGCATGTTGCTCGGCGAGAATTTCGAACATCTGCTGGACGCCTTTCGAGGCCCGGAGGTTCGGGTGGGTGAGACTAAACGATTACTTGAGCGGATGTCGAAAGCCAGGATGGAGCCGAGCAGCATGCCGATAATTCGAAGCAGTGAGTTCTTACCTTTCAACCACGCATCGCGACCAAATCCACCGCCGCTCGTCTTTCCTTGGAAATGCGTCTTGCACAAAGCGCATGGCATGGATAGACTGGCATGGTCGTAGTCCAGCCAGGGTCGACCTTTCTTCCAAGAGTCATGGAAAGGGTGAGTTCTTTTTCACTTCGCTGCGGGCTCCATCGTCCAAATCACCAGTCGACTGAAAACTTGCAACTGTGTCTAAAGCTATACCCAAAGTTACACTTTTGACTTCCTGCAACATCGACTTTGAATGTCCTGATTTCCTATTTGCCGCTGGCCAGATCGCGCTCGAACCAGTTGACCACAGTTGACCCTAGCCGAGTTTCTGTCGCTTGTAGACTGTAGTGTGTACGGTTGCGCTAGATTTGCAACAGATGGGGTCCGCGAGTTGTAAAATACCGGTATTTTAGGAATCCATTGTCAGTTTGAGACATTTTTCAGCCGGGTCAGACTGGACCCGGTGTTATCTCTTCAGCCAGGTCGTTCTGTTCCCCAGCCGGGCGCGTGACCCGGCTCTCCAGCAGGCCCTGAAGGGGGTAGGGAACATGATGAAGATCATGTTTGCACCAGGTGCTTGTAGCTATTGCACTGCTGTCTGCTGTGTGTGTATATGGTATATGGTATATGGTATATGGAGGGTTGTTTTCCTAGCTTGACGTCGATACAGTAGTCTCTTTAGAATCCAGCAACATTAATTTTATAGAAAGAAAAAGGATATAAGGATACGAGTTAAGAGTAATTCTCCATCACTGTAACTGGGTACTATATACAGTCAGAAAGTGCAATAAGTAGGACTTGCAAGTGCAATAACTTTTCCTTTCTACATTTATTTATGGCTCAACATCCGAGTTTCATTAATTTTTATGCTAAGGAAATTCTGCTGGATTAGGGAGGGTGCTGGATTAACGAATCTGATTTTCTGCTGGAGTGTGCATTACGAGGACCTTTTGGTTACTGAAAATGGTGCTGGGTCTTTCTCTCTACAAAATCCACATATCTCCGGACACTGCGGTGAATAATGGAGTGTGGTGGTGGAGCCCATTTAAAGACCGCCTGCCATTAAAGACCGCTTTTTCTGGCTCCAAGGGATGCTTGTTAGTCACAGGTTTTCTTCTATTTTACAATCAACTTACGGTCGTTGCTTTTCGTCTTCTTCTTGTTGTTCCCGTGTAGATTGCTATGAACGAGCTCAGCCCCACCTTCACATGATGCATCTGTCACTACACGCGCACAGACATCGCGTGCACGATCAGTGCCGTCGCTCGCAGCAGGAGCACAACGAGTTCTACGCGGCGCAGAAGGAGCGTCTGCGTCAGACCATCGAGGACTGTGAGCGCAGTGCTCACAACCTGGCGGCGGAGACGCCAACGGCTGCGGCAGAGCTCGAGGCCTCGTAAGTATTGATGGTGTCGTTGTATGATGTCATTATGATGTCATCATTAGTGGGTTGTTTACGGTACTGTCGGTCGCCGAAGAACGGAGGCCTGAATAACGAGCAGGCTAGGATTTTACCAAGCGCAGCATACCAATATATGTTTGTGCCTGTGACTCAACTGTGCTTAGACTAGCACCTGAAAAAGAAGAACGGCTGGTGCGTGTGTGTGTGTGTGTGTGTGTGTGTATTTGTGTGTGTGTGTTTTTTGTGTTTGTGTTTATGCGCGTGTCGGCGACTGCGCATCCGCCTGAAACCCATCGTGCATATCTCTCACCTTCTACTTCAGGTGCCACGAGGCGGAGGCCAAGATGCGTCAGAGTCTGGGTGACCACGTGTCCGGTGCTGCCGACCTTCATGAGCAGTGTGCTCGACGACTGCGTCAGGTACACAAGAGAGTGCAGTCGGCCGGACAGAGTCTGTTCCACGTCCTGGCTGGATGTGCTCCGGAGCACGCTTGCATCGTCCTCAGACTGTCGAAGGCCAAGATGCAGCGGGTAAGAAGAGAGAACTCGAACTCTGTGTGTGTGTGTGTGTTTCTCGCAATTCACGGCACGACATTCTTTTCTTCTTGCTCTGTGTTACGTTCGGCCTGCGAGCCACGCAGGAGTCCATTGCGGGGCAAGACAAGGACTGATTTATTTACAACGAGCATGCGCAAATAAATATAATACATGACATGTGTTTGTGTGTGTGTTTGTGTGTGTGTGTGTGTGTGTGTGTGTGTGTGTGTGTGTGTGTGTGTGTGTGTGTGTGTGTGTGTGTGTGTGTGAGAGAGAGAGAGAGAGAGAGTACGGAGAGAAACAATGCTGCAACAATCACTATACACTACACGTTGGGCCCCGGACTGTGTGTCTTGCCACGTGGACAGCACTGTACCCCACATGTACGAGCGGTGATGCTCTATGAAATCTGATCGCGTGAGTGAAGTGCGTGCAGGTGTGCTGTTCATCCCCAGTCCTGCAAACAATGGGATGTGAACAGGAGAGCGAAGGTCGCAAACATTACTCACGCGATTAGGTGTCATTGAACAGCACTGTACAAGCATTCCTCCCCTTTTCCCCCTCCTCCCCCTTCTCCCCCTCCTCCCCCTTCTCCCCCTCCTCCCCCTTCTCCCCCTCCTCCCCCTCCCCCCCCCCCCTCCTCCCATCACACATTTAACACGATTCTGTGCATGGGCTGTGTGTGTTATCCTGCTGGCTCGCAGGTTTCCAGCTCTGTCCAGGGACTGGCCAACCTTGACGTTGGCGCCACGTGCGCTTTGCCCAGTGAGCGGCTGGGGCACAAGGTGCGTCGCATGTGCGAGCGATTCAGCACACAACAAGCCATCGTCAACGAAGCCAGCTCCAATGTTTATGATGAACTTCACGAGACATTGGCCAGCCATTGTGCTGGGTAAGGGATTGATTATTGGCACCTGCATTGCGGGAAAACGAAAACTAAAAAGATAATTTTAAAGAGCTACGACCGCGGTCAACAAACCTGAAACAATGTCTCCTTGCCGTTAGCGACTTCTTCGTGCGTGTGTGTGTGCGTATGTGTGCGTGTATGTGTGTGTGTGTGCGCGCGCATGCGCGTGTGCGTGTGCGTGTGTGCATGCGTGGTATGTTTGCCCGTATCTCCAGTATAATATGCAATGAACACCAAGATGATGATGTTGATATCATGATTGAGTCTATTACACTGCATCATTCAATCAGACTGAAGTCATGTTTTTCTCGCATTCAATTTGCATTTCCGTGTGTGTGTGTGTGTGTGTGCGTACATGCATGTCTGAGTGCTTGCGTATATGCATGTCTATGTGTGTGTGCGTATGTTCATGTGTGCGTGTATGTCTGCCTGTTTACGTGCCTGGCTATGCGTATGTTTCTAATATGCAGTTCAAGAGCTCAGGACCGTGACGTGGTCACTGGCGAACACAGCATTGTGACTGAGCAGGTGACGGTGTTCAAGGAGGACCCAACCACTGAGTATGTAAGTAACACATCGTGCCACCGAGGGTCAGCGACAAGTGCTCGATCTGCGAAGCAGCGCGGAACACGGTCACTGGTGATAAACATGACGCCAGTCTGGTGAGGCGCTGCTGCGATCTATGCAGCTCTCTCTCTCTCTCTCTCTCTCTCTCTCTCTCTCTCTCTCTCTCTCTCTCTCTCTCTTTCTCTCCCCATCTCCCTCTCCCTCTCTGGGCGACATACCGTTTGACCTTTTGACGTCCATCGCCGGAGGTGATGATAGCGATGCTACGGCAGTATCCATAGCAACATGTGCTGGGATTGCATAATATCTTGCAAGGCTGAAGAATTGACCGCCACTATTCAGCCTGGTCTACACCACACAGGCATGAAGTGGCTTTTTCTGGCCAGTGAATCCCCACTTTTTGGTCTTTTTAATGTTTTTCCGCACACACATCACACCACATACTCCGGCATGCGCCGGCTGTTGGTAGAGGGGACGGTTTCAAATAGGACACAGGTTGCAAACCGGAACGGACTCAATATTCACTTTCTTTCTTGGTATTTTGATTAGAAAACATAATATGTCACAGTGAGACTACGATGTGTTATACTCCGAGCCAAAATTTCATGGCTCTGAGATGACCAGAAGCGCCATATCAAGCAGGTGAGTTTTTGACGTGTTGCTTCGCACAGGCTTATTGTTACTCTGTATTGGCCGTCGTGGAGCGATAGCAATTACCTAATTTCAGAGCCAGAGTGAATTTGACGTGCACTCTAAGACGTGTCCGGTTTGGAGCCACCTCTGATTTGACCTTTTTTGAAGCGAAAAATTGGGCAACTTGGAGGCAATGGGTCAACACAAAGGAGTGGCTCAGTTCGATTGACTCTGGCCCCAGAGCAAACTTCAACATGCCAGTTTCCTTCCACAAACATATTTCGAGTGAAAAATCAACGCTGATGATCGGGTTGGGTCTATACAAATTTGGCTGTCAAAGCGTCCCGGTATCGAGCCGTCCCCTCTACAGTGTGCACGCGCGCGCACCATTACCGAAACGCTCAATACAAAGAATGAAGACAATCCTCCTCTCTGAGTACAATTCCCCTCTCTGAAAACAGTTCGTTACGCAGGGGCAATTATTTGCATGGATTCAAACAGGGACGGGTCACATGTCATATGGACAATCATGCGGCTTCGCTACATGTACATTTATGATGTACATGGTATATCCAGACTCAGTCATAGGCCACATGCCAGTCAGCCTGGTTTGCTAGGCTGTGGTGTTTGTAAAAAAAGTTTAAAAAAAAGTAAATTATCGTGTCCGTTTCCGAAGGCGAAGGGAACTCACGACGGCCGCTAACAGTAAACACCTGGTAAACCCTAGCGGCAGATGCAGCGCCTAACGGTGGGGGGTGAGTGGATAAGTCTCACAACCACTGGCACAACTTTGTAGGGACCGGCGGATTCTGCTCGAAAAGGTGGCAGATTCTGCTCGAAAAGCAGTAAAATTGGCAGAACCATACAAACCTTATGGCGGGCAATTCCTCGAATTCTGCTCCATTTCTTTATCCACATACCAAACATGCATGAAACTTACCAGAAAAAGTACCGAATTCTGCCATTTTTTCTGCCGGCAGAATCCGCTGGACCCTAGGCACAAGTGCGGAGAAACCCCATTACGCATTAGCTGCATCCATGTGCCCCCTTTTTTGTAATCTTTAAAAAATGGGGGTGATTTTGGACCGGGGTCCGGAAACGCGAGTTCCCGTGTGATAATCTCGACAAATCGGGATACTTGGTAGCAGCCTAGCAGGTATGGAAGAATCGATTCAATCGACCACGACAACCCTCCCAAGACATGACTCATTGATTGTCATAAAGACATAATGAGTACTTGCATGTGACCAGTTGGCAGCGCCGCAGCGGTCGGCACAGCATGTCCAGACGCATTCACGTACTATTCACGTACTGTGCACGTACTACTGCCACTGGCACTACTGGTACTAGCCGCAGAGTCCCCTGTCTGATTGTCCAAACTGGCAAAGCGGCTACCTTCAAGTCCCTTGCCTTGTTTTAGTTGTTTATGCCTTGACTTGACTGTCACTATGCCACAGTATGGTATGTGTGACTGGCTGACCCTCCTCCGGATCTCCACTGACCATGCTGACAGTGGCTGTCCAAGACAAGAGTCAAGACCTAACTCTTCAAGAGTCCAAGACATGAAACTCTGCAAGTAACGTACTGTGTGTAGAGAGGTAAATCTGGCAATGACGTACGACAAGGCGCGGCGGTCTGCCAGGTGCCGTCCCCAATCCTGGACCCGCACCGCACTTTGATATCCCTCCTCCTACGTCACGTACTAGTACCTGGTGACAGGTCAGCAGCACTAGGCCTGTTGTGCTGGCTCTAACCACACACTGTACTTGTACTAGCTCTCTACAAATACTACTATATAATTATACTAGTACTAGTACATGATTGTACTGATGTACATGTAGTAGTAAAATGTAGCTCTCTTCTCACCATGTACCACGGTCTCAGCGGTCTCAGCGCTAGCTACACTCAAGTCACCATGGTCAAAGTGTCGATGAGATGGAATGCGTGGATAGCGTGGGCGTTTGGACACGTGAGGTCGGTCCTTTGTATGGATGCCAGAATGGCGCAGGGCAGGGCAGGCAGGGGGCATCCGATGATCCGGCAAGGATATCCTGACTCGTGTAGTGTAGTGTGCTGTGAGTGTGAAACTGAAATCGTGTCGTCGATGGACGCAACGACCCTGCACTCGCCACACTCAGCCCCGGCGCCGGCATGCGCGGCACCACACATGCACAGTCGACTGACTCTCTGTGTAGTCATGAATCATGATGCATGTACGACTACTGAAACGCTATCTATGCAGTCCTAGATCCTTGCACTAGCACTTGAAAGACTACAGTCAGTCAGTGAGGCTACACTACCTAGGCTAGGGCTAGGCTAGGCTACAGCCAGTGCGGCGGACGGTAGTTCTACACTACATACAGACTCAGTCAGTGATATACACCCGATACTATTACTAGTGATAGTGATACAGCCGCTACGAGACTTCGAGAGAGACAAAAGCAACAGCCACGCAGAAGCCGTCCAGATATCAGTTCATTGCAGTTTGCAGTTTGCAGTTCGCAGTTTTAGTCCGAGAAAGACGCTTTCACCTGGCAAAGAGTACCTAGCGAGTGGATTGGAGCACGCTGAGCCAGCAAGATGGCGACCATTGCCAGCCTACTGTTGGTTGCGTTAGTTGCCGTAAGTTTGCGCACGTAGTTGCTGTTCGCTGGCTCTTTGTTTGGTGTTTTGTAGATCGCGTTTCATACTGTCGTTCTCGGTTCGGGGTTTTGTGTTTTGGCCTTATCTCCTCCGTCAGGTGGCGAGTGGAAGGTCACCAGCGATCGATGTTGTTCAGCCATCGGAGATCGTTACCTCAGGTAAGAGCTGCGATCGATCGCGTAGCTGCGTGAACATGGTGAATCCGCCTGCGCTTTTTGCTGGTGGTGGGTTTGTGTGTGTTTGTGTGATGTCTGTTCGTAACATTGCGACACATCCTATGTGGTGGTGTCGCTCAGTCATCTACGCTGAGCATTCACAGTCGCTAGTGCCTACGTGCGAAACTGCGTCGATGGCGAGCGCTATTTCCTGATCTTGTAGCGTTCTCCCTATGTTGCTGTGCGCCTCTGCCTCTACTCTGGTGAGCGGGAGCATTCGCTGAGGTCCACCACCACCACCAGGGCAGGAGGTGTTATTCGCACCGGAGCTGCCTGTCCCAAACCATGAAAACTGGCTGGATGATCAGTCACGGATTGCCAGTACTGCAATGGCAATCGCATGGACTTTCGCCACTCCAGGCTCGCATTATGCGCTATCAGTATCACAGTCATCAAAATGGATATTGAGAATGTGTGGAAGTAGTAACTAATACTTGAAGTGCCAGGAAGAACCCCCGCACCTTCCGTACTGCCCTGCAAGGATTTGTTGGAAGGCAGTGGTGGATCGGCAGGGATATCCCCGGGAATGGCAGAGTGTTGTTCGTAGACATCGCTGTGTGTAGTGTAGTGTTATCAGTAGAAAGGTAGTTTTCAGAGTGACACGACAGGTACGAACCTAGTCGGGGGAAGATCCTTCAGCCACTGCTGTTCGTAGACCAGTTTCGTGCATTTGTATGTGCGTGAGCGACTTTTCTTTCCGCTGTCGCTATCTCCCCCTCTATTTCTCTCTCTCTCTCACACACACACACACACACACACACACACACACACACACCACACACACACGCCACACACACACACGTGAGCGCGCACACGCATACCCTCTCGGACTGGTACACTTCAGCTAGCGATGGAAGCTTTCAACGCGCTACTCGTTTTACTGCGTTTGACGGCATCGGCATCGCAAGGATTTAGGTGCTTGGCTGGTTCGTGTATAGACATTCCTGTTCAGCTCATCAGGCGCTACGACCGTCAGTTGTGTTTTCCGATGCAGCTCGCTATGTAGCTGATCGAGCGGAAAGTTCTCAAACGAAATGGCGAAAAGAAGAGTTTCCCGCAGTGATTCTGTATTTTTGCAACTGGTGCAAATGTTGTTCGTTTCAGCGCGACCGCTCTTGTTGATTTTTGCAGCGTGCGATGCGGAAAGGTGTGTGTTTGTGGCACCTTCTGTCGGCGTAAGCAAGTGCTCTTGACTGGCATGAGAAACAAGCACTCTACTCGGCCATTAGATGAGCGGTTTTGGTTTGGTCTGGACACTAAAATTATACTATGGATCAGGCGGCATTTGCATGAACAGTTGCTTCGGAGGGTGTCTTCCGTGCGTACAAGTACAAGCTCGTACACAAACGTAGACTAGCGATCCAGGAAGCCACTCCATGGCGCATCTGGTGAGCGCTCTGCCACTGGTGCAGCCCTGGCGTGTTGATAGGGTAATGCAGTATCTCTTGTTGTGTGCTGCTCAGCTGGATTTTTTGACGATGGGGGGGGGGGGGGGGCTGGGGCGACCGACACCTTATGTGCGTTGTGCACGAAGCAATGCACTTCATCATGATGCTCCCTCAGACCTCACAGAAGAGGAAATAGTGGACCAGTTCAGTATCATGTAGATGATGTACAAGTACAATGGTACAGGTCCTCCCTCGTTATAACGAGTAGTACATAAACCCCGTTAGTAAATAGAAATCTGAAATCCCCTGGCGAAACGTGGTCTATACAACTGTTTACAGGTCCGGTTACAACGTAATCCGTTAGTACATAAAATCCGTTATAACGACCCTTTGCCCAGGTCCCTGGAGTGCCAAACCCTCAGTATAAGATAATATTGACCATGCAGGACCAAGGCCAAAACACGTAGGATAAAGCAGAAAGAGAAAACGTATTATGTCTATGTATTCGTGAATATGGACGATCCTTTGCAATGTTTGCATCCAAGGAAGAGTTATATTGGAGATTTTCAATTATCTTATAACGAGTTGAAGCATCGATAATTTATGTTGTATCGAGGGTAGCCCGGGTAAGTACGAAGTAGTGCCTATTTCACCTTTAGCTGCAAGTCCTGCTACAAGATAAGTCTCGTTATAAGATAACTTTTTCGATGGCCCAGAGATTATCTACTAACGAGGGAGGACCTGTACATGTACCAAACTGGATAGAACCTGCACACCACCAGGGGGAAACAGGAAAGACTCTGCGTTATGGTATCCCATTTTGACCTGGGTTATACATGAATGTGCAGTAGTGCCTGGGCTGTAAAGGTCAGATTCGTATGAGTTCTGGCCATTGCCTGCCCATGAAGTTAGTGCTGCTGCACCGACAAGTAGCATGGTTGGCAGGGGGGGGGGGGGGGGGTTGGGATTTCTCTTCCCCGTGCAAGGTCCAGTTACCTAGGGAAGCACTAGTTCCCTCATGGATGACATTCCGACTTCATCGCGCGCACGCGTTCACACACACACACACACACACACGCATACATGTTCACACGCGCACATGCCCACGCACACACAGGAGGTGAACATACCGCTCGGGTTGTTTGTAGCTGTTCAAACGGTAGTTTGCAGAATGATGCGTCGATGGCCTCGATGGTGTTCCTGCTTCTTGTCACAGTGTGATGAAAAAACGTCACTATTTGCGAGCTGTCGTTATTCGTGTGTTGTTGAAAGTATGCAGTCAAGATAGTTACTACATCTGAGGATTCTGTCTTTACACGCGAGTTGCTGACTGTATGCTGAAGTTTTAGAGGCCGTGTATAAATATCGAACTTTTTTTTAGTGTTGAAACGAGCGTATCTATAACAAACGAGCGATCAGTTCCACTAACGAGGAAGCTATCAAGCGAGCTAACGAGTTTCATTGATGTGGCGAATATGATTATTTTTTTGAATATATTTTTTTCTAAGTTCGATTTTTTTCAGCTGGTTCAAATTATCACCGCCGGCGCCGGCATTTGGGGTTGCTGCTGCTTCACTTCGGACTGCTGGTTGGTGTCGAGATGTCTTTTCAGCGCCGTCGTCGATTAGCCTTTGTAAGAATAGACCGTTTTGCAAAGATTGCAAGTAGCCCTGGTCTTCGCTGCATCGCGGGAGAAAACTTCTAAACGACTGAGCGTAACTTTCACTCGAATGGAGGGGTGACCGAAGCATATCCTGCAACAGGTCAGCAGATGCGGAACAAGACATCAGTAGAGTCCACCAAAGCTGCAACGACAACTGAAACAACTCAAGTGTCGTGCAGGCATACAGTCACCTGTAACTGCGAGTGATTTTCACTTTGCGCGGGATCGGGACTGGACTCTCGATCGACCGGGGAGTCGTAAAATATTTTACGACTCCCCGGTCGACATGTACTGCTATGTGTACGGAGTGCGGTGTACGGTGTTCGTTAGTGCAAACGAGCTGGCCGCACAAACGAGCCGAATTTCTGGCGAGCGAGCTAACGAGTATCCGGTGAGATCGTTTCAACACTACTTTTTTTAACCATCCGAATCGGTTCAGTTTATATCCAACCCCTCCCTCCCTCCCCCTCAAAACGTAAAAAAATGTTGACATATGCATGCACGATACAACAAAAGTTGCAAGTGTGTCACTGCTCCTACATGTATCAATGTTTTCGAAACGAAATTGGTCAACCCCTCCCACCCCATACGGTTTTGTGAAAAATGTTCCACGCTTATGGACGACCCCTTACAATACTTTTTTTTTTTTAAACTTACATTCACCACCAGCAGTACTTGTACTGTAGAGTGTAGTTGGTAGGTTGTGTTTCTGTTGGGGACTTGGCACTGCACATGAAAAAAGACACGAATAGGCAGACCGGCCAATAGGATGATATGGTGTACGGATGCTAGGAACTGAGTTGTACTCTGTGTACAGTACGAGTATTAGAAAATGAATGTACTACAAGTATGCAATTATTTCGGCTAGCTGTGAATACTCTATTATTTCAGAAATTTTCTATTTTCGGTTTGAGGGCAAAAGGCCAGGTTAGGTGAATAGAAAATTTAGGTACAGAGAAACAGTTCCCTATTGGATTATGTGTGTTAGTGTTTGTTTGGTGTATTGAAATTTTAGGTATGAAACAGACCACCGAAGTCCCGAAAATAATAGTGCACCGGAAATTTGTGAAATTTAATTACAGTAACCCTTCAGAGTAACAGTGTACTGAGTCTGAGTGTAGTCTGTCATGACATCACTGTCTGTGTGCCTGGAATGTTTTATTACGTCATTAGCCTTTGTTTGTGGGCAATGCATGCATGCATGTGCTTATCAGTGGCTAGTGTTGCATTGACTGGCTAATGAGTGCGTGGGTGGGTGAGTGGGGACATTGTACACACACACACACCACACACCACACAGTCCACAATCATGGTACACATACTAGTAGTCACAGTGCAGCAGGCAACACACTGTGTGTGTGTGTGTGTGTGTGTGTGTCCCGACACTTGTTTTACCGTATATTCTCTATTATAAGCACAGGTCTCCATTACTAGCACGGTCTCTAATACTAGCACACTGTGAGCACCTTTCGAAACATTATAAGCACAGTCTCTATTATTAGCACGGTCTTGGTAGAAATCAATGCTGCATGCATGATATCCAGCATGTATTTCTTCTTGCTCTGTATGGATGTATTGGTTGAAAAAATATAAGCACGGTCTCCAATATAAGCGCGGTCTCCAATATAAGCACGGGGTAGAGGGGTGTTGAAAAAATATAAGCACGGCGCTTATAATAGAGAATATACGGTATTCTGGTCCTGGGATGATTGCATGCACTGTATGTAATTGTTTGACCCAAGTACCTGGCAGCCTCTCTCAAGTGCCTGGCTGCTGTAATGCCATGTGACACTGTATCTGTACAATAATGTTGTATTGCTGGGGGCTAGTACGGCAGTAAGGGGGTAGGGAACATGATGAAGATCCTGTTTGCACCAGGTGCTTGTAGATATTGCACTGCTGTCTGCTGTTTGTGTTTATGGAGAGGTTTATGGAGGGTTGTTTATGGAGGGTTGTTTTCCTAGCTTGACGTCATTACAGTGGTTTCTTTATAATCCAGCAACATTAAGTTTATAGAAAGGAAATTCTGCTGGATTAGGGAGGGTGCTGGATTAACGAATCTGATTTTCTGCTGGAGTGTGCATTACGAGGACCTTTTGGTTACTGAAAATTAGGGCCGAAACGATTGCCCATTTTGCCTTAACGATTAACCAATAACACTAACGATCGATTTATTGGTTTTACCGATTTTCCGAACAAGTTTTATAAGTGTCATGTTGGACATCAGTATACGGCAAAAAAATTAAAATTTGTTCAACTATAATTATAGGTACGTATGGGTGAAAGATCCACAGTTCCTCTGCCATTAAACATAAACGATCAGTCGTCTGTCTTCTACAATGGAGAGGGGTCAACTGGAATCGACAATCCAGTCGATGATCGACTCCGTCAACATGCCTGAGCGCCTGCTGTCGCACGTTCGCAAGTTACCTGTGCCGAAGAACGACGTGACGGGCTTCATTCCAGCACTGTTATGAGCATTGTCACTGCGCTCAACATTGCTGGTAGTCGCCGTTGCTGTTGACTGTTTTGCTGGTCCTTTCCCTACCGCAGCGGCGTACTGGTCTTTGTGAGCAGAAATCAGGTGCTGGAACAAGTTGGTTGTGCCGCTTTGACGGACGAACTCGCGGCTGCACGAATTGCATCTCGCTACGCTATCAGCTTCCTCGAAATATGCCCAAGCTGGCGATCTCTTGGTCAGACTAACTTTCGCTTTTCCAGGCGGCAGGATTGTCACTGCTCTCCTCGCCAAAAAATCAAACACCAACTGTAAGTTTTTGACAAGAACTGAACAAATTAGAAGGCCGGCAGCCATCCTCACAGTTTCGCTACAACCTAATAGTAATGAAGCTTTCCGGTTGTTACATTTTCCGGCTACGCTGACTAGTGCAGTGAATGTAGTGACTATGTACGACTACGAGTACCCAAAAAGGATCAAGCGCGCAATGATTGTACGGACCTGAAGCTACGGCCGGCTCACCTGTACTTCGACGTTCATGTACTTGTGCGCATGACACGCGTGCATGATGCTATGCATGGTCTGCATGTACTGACGTCATGACAGCTGGCTCTCGCACTGTACAGTCATAATCGTTATCGATCATAACGATTATCGATTTCATCCATAACGAGTGATATACGAGTAATCGGTATAATCGTTTCGGCCCTACTGAAAATGGTGCTGGGTTTTTCTCTCTACAAAATCCACATATCTCCAGGCACTGGGGTGAATAATGGAGTGTGGTGGCGGGGCCCATTTAAAGACCACCTGCCATTAAAGACCGCTTTTTCTGGCCCCAAGGGATGCTTGTTAGTCACAGGTTTTCTTCTATTTTACAATCAACTTACGGTCGTTGCTTTTCGTCTTCTTCTTGTTGTTCCCGTGTAGATTGCTATGAACGAGCTCAGCCCCACCTTCACATGATGCATCTGTCACTACACGCGCACAGACATCGCGTACACGATCAGTGCCGTCGCTCACAGCAGGAGCACAACGAGTTCTACGCGGCGCAGAAGGAGCGTCTGCGTCAGACCATCGAGGACTGTGAGCGCAGTGCTCACAATCTGGCGGCGGGGACGCCAACGGCTGCGGCAGAGCTCGAGGCCTCGTAAGTATTGATGGTGTCATTGTATGATGTCATTATGATGTCATCATTAGTTGGTTGTTTACGGTAATGTCGGTCGCCGAAGAACGGAGGCCTGAATAACGAGCAGGCTAGGATTTCACCAAGCGCAGCATACCAATATATGTTTGTGCCTGTGACTCAACTGTGCTTAGACTAGCACCTGAAAAAGAAGAACGGCTGGTGCGTGTGTGTGTGTGTTTTTTGTGTTTGTGTTTATGCGCGTGTCGGCGACTGCGCGTCCACCTGAAACCCATTGTGCATATCTCTCACCTTCTACTTCAGGTGCCACGAGGCGGAGGCCAAGATGCGTCAGAGTCTGGGTGACCACGTGTCCGGTGCTGCCGACCTTCATGAGCAGTGTGCTCGACGTCTGCGTCAGGTGCACAAGAGAGTGCAGTCGGCCGGACAGAGTCTCTTCCACGTCCTGGCTGGATGTGCACCGGAGCACGCGTGCATCCTCCTCAGACTGTCCAAGGCTAAGATGCAGCGGGTAAGAAGAGAGAACTCCTTCACGGTGTGTATGTGTGTGTGTGTGTGTGTGTGTGTGTGTGTGTGTGTGTGTGTGTGTGTGTGTGTGTGCGTGCGTGCGTGTGTGTGTGCGTGTGCGTGCGTGTGTGTGTGTGTGTGTATGTGTGTGTAGATTCCTTTAGAGTCTCTCTCCCCTCTTCCGGGAGACCCACGTGACCAGTTTTGGCAGTTAGCAAGTACAAGTGTGTGTGTGTGTGTGTATGTGTGTGTGTGTGTGTGTGTGTGTGTGTGTGTGTGTGTTTGTGTCACTGTATGTGTGTGTGTGTGTGTGTGTGTGTGTGTGTGTGTGTGTGTGTGTGTGTGTGTGTGTGTGTGTGTGAGAGAGAGAGAGAGAGAGAGAGAGAGAGAGAGAGTGAGTGAGTGAGAGGGAGAGAGAGAGAGAGAGAGAGAGAGAGAGAGTACGGAGAGAAACAATGCTGCAACAATCACTATACGCTACACTTTGGGCCCGGGACTGTGTGTCTTGCCACGTGGACAGCACTGTACGCCACATGTACGAGCGGTGATGCTCTATGAAATCCTATCGCGTGAGTCAAGTGCGTGCAGGTGTGCTGTTCATTCCCAGTCCTGCAAACAATGGGATGTGCACAGGAGAGCGAAGGTCGCAAACATTACTCACGCGATTAGGTGTCATTGAACAGCACTGTACAAGCATTCCTCCCCTCCCCCCCCCCCCCCCCCTCCCCCCCCCCCCCCCCCCCGCCTCCGATCACACTTTCAACACAATTCTGTTCATGGGCTGTGTGTGTGTGTTTTCCTGTTGGCTGGCAGCTTTCCAGCTCTGTCCAGGGACTGGCCAACCTTGACGTTGGTGAAACGTGTGCTTTGCCCAGTGAGCGGCTTGGGCACAAGGTGCGTCGCATGTGCGAGCGATTCAGCACACAACAAGCCATCGTCAACGAAGCCAGCTCCAATGTTTATGATGAACTTCACGAGACATTGGACAGCCATTGTGCTGGGTAAGCGATTGATCATTGACGCCTGCTTTGCGGGAAAGCCGAAACTAATAAGATAATTTTTAAAGAGCTACGACTGCGCTCAACAAACCTGATACAATGTCTCCTTGCCGTCAGCGACTTCTTCATGCGTGTGTGTGCGTATATGTTCGTATATGTGCGTGTATGTGTGTGTGTGCGCGCATGCGCGTGTGTGTATGTGCATGCGTGGTATGTTTGCCCGTATCTCCAGTATAATATGCAATGAACACCAAGATGATGATGTTGATATCATGATTGAGTCTATTACACTGCATCATTCACTCAGACTGAAGTCATGTTTTTCTCGCATTCAATTTGCATTTCCGTGTGTGTGTGTGTGTGTGTGTGTGTGTGTGTGTGTGTGTGTGTGTGGCTGTGTGTGTATGTGTGCATACATGCCTGTCTGAGTGCGTGCGTATATGCATGTCTATGTGTGTGCGTATGTACATGTGTGCGTGTATGGGTGGCGGTACGCATGTATGTCTGCCTGTTTCCGTGTCTGGCTATGCGTCTGTTCCTAATCTGCAGTTCAAGAGCGCAGGACCGTGACATGGTCACTGGCGAACACGAAATTGTGACTGAGGAGGTGCGGTTGTTCGAGGAGGACCCAACCACTGAGCAGCAGTTTGTACCAACGTTTGTTCCGGAGATCCTTCCCGAGATGCCAACTCTGCCAGTCGAACCCAACTACCCGGCCGTTACCGAGGAGGTGAAGAAGGAGGTAAGGCGACGTTTCTTGTGTGTGTGTGTGTGTGTGTGTGTGTGTGTGCGTGCGTGTGTGCGTGCACATGTGTGCATAGGACGTGGTGAGCACCATTGATAAATATAATCATAACCACTACTAATTGCTTTACCCCCATTTCTAACACTAAACTGATTACTGGCATGCTCAATTGTATTCTCACTTTGCACCACTTGCCTTTAGGCGCTGTTACCTTTCACAGTTAAACGCTGACTCGTATTGTCGCTACTGCTGCCGCTGTTGTTCCGTTGTGTTTTAGACGAGCAATGGTTGGAACCCACTGTGGGGTCTTGGCCCTGTTCAGATCAACAAGAACATGCCAGCTGGACAGGAAGTAAGTATAGTGCACGCTATCAAGTCAGTGTGTGTGTGTGTGTGTGTGTGTGTGCGCGCGCATGCGTGTGTGTGTATATAATGTGTGTTACACGATAGGATGTGAACCAAAACCAATTTCTGTCCTTGTAACTATTAATGATCAGGCTTGCTGACGGTATTCGATATTCATATTCTGTTTGTCCGACGACCGATTCGCTGCAGGATATTGGTTTGATGGAACCAGAGCAAAAGCCGGATGGTGGGGACGGCGATCACGATCATGACCACGACAAGCAGAGCGATCATCACCGCCACCACAAACGTCGCTACGTCACAGTCGCCGTGGCTACGGGCTGCGTCTGCGTTGTCGTGTGCGTTGCCGTGGCGGCGTTCACTGCCAACGTACTGCGCCGTCGCTATCGTAACTCCATCCAATCACAGCAGCCGGAGAAGAGGAACGACGTCGCCAAGAAGGCCCTCCTGGACGAGGAGGAGGAGATCCGGAGCATCGAGCAGAAGGGCTTCGAGAACCCCACATACAACTTCTTCGAGCACCTCCAGGAGGAAGCATGAGCAACAGGTGGTGTTGTTGGTGTTGCCGTTGCTGGGAATGGTGGAGTGCTGCCAGCTTGACTTGTAATCGATGTGTGTGGCGTTAACCTCGCCTCCGTTGTCTCGCACACTCTCACGCATTCTTTCTGTTGCCTCTCTCTCTCTCTCTCTCTCTCTCTCTCTCTCTCTCTCTCTCTCTCTCTCTCTCTCTCTCTCTCTCTCTCTCCCACTCACTCACTCTCTCTCTCTCTCTCTCTCTCTCTCTCTCACTCTCTCTCTCTCTCTCTCTCTCTCTCTCTCTCTCTCTCTCTCTCTCTCTCTCTCTCTTTCTTAGCTTGCTCTGCTCTCAGCCCTATAATAATAATTCCTTCGGTGGCTGTGTGCCGTGCACGCAGCCACACAGATTCGCCCAATGCACTCGCAAATGCACACAGAACACTAATCTATTGATGCTGCAATATACTGTGCGCCTGCCCACACTCAGTCGCTTCTTGGCTTTCACCCACTGCGGTGGAACACACACTGTCAGTGTAACGTCACGTTCGATAGGTGCCATAACCGTTACCATGGCTACTCTAGTTGCCGACATGTTTTGTTATTGTTGTATCATGACTTAGTTCACTGACTAGCCAACATTCAGAGTAATATGCATGTACAGTACATCGGAATGCTTTATTTTTCGGCGTGCTGCATTGCGTTCATGCGATTCTGCTGCATTGGTAATATAGGATCTATTCGTACGTGTATGTGTGTTTGCTGTTTCGTGTCGTTTCTGGTGGTGTTTGTGGCCCTAGTTGGTTGTGTGGCTTGTGTCGGTTTGCCGTTGATCCGTGCCAGGAAACTGCGCGCGATGTGTTTTAACTAAAACTTGTACTAATTTTCTTCTGCTTATTCTCTTTGATGTTTAGTGTGATTCATCCGTTTGCCCGTCTTGTTCATGTGAGTCTCGCGTCCGTGCGTGAGCCTCCTCTCACATAATAATACTTTGTGTTGACTTTTATTCACGGGTTGGGCCAGAAAAATATTTATACATGACGGTGATACCGGTTGTTTCAAGCAGCGTGCCATGTATGTGTGTGTGTGTGTGTGTGTACATGTGTGTGTATGTGTGTGTGTGTGTACGCGTGTGTGTGTGTATGTGTGTGTGTGTCCACGCGGGGCGGGGGCTAGCGTGCGCGAGTGCGTTCCAGACTACAGTGTATGTAATGGGTCCTTCACACTACGCCCAAAACGAGGCGTACGTGACGCTTTCGTCAGGATAGCCATGACAACATGGAAGGTGGCGGGAAAATCGTACTCCTGATAGTGATACGAAAACGTAAACGACGTATCCAGACCCCTGTACCGAGTTTCGTTCTGCCGTTCCCAGTAGTTTGTGTACAAAAGAAGCTGTACGAGCAGCGTGTGCGTGCCTGTGTGAATGCACCTGCATGAAAACGACGTCTGCCAGCACGTCGTATTCCAGAACGTGACGCGGTTTGTAACGTAGTATGAATAGGCTATAACGGTTATTTCATGTGCCACTAGTACTAGTTCGGCTGGTAACGTGAGGTGCATGTATATAATATAACCTAACCAGTTGATTATATGGGAAATATAAACCTGTATACAAACCGAGGCGAAGCCGAGGTTTGTATACAGGTTTATATTTCCCATATAATCAACTGAGTAGGTTATATTATGCTTATACTGAGCTGATATACAAACTCCCCTAGTGTGATCCTAAAAAAAAAGGAGTTTATATACCAGTTTATACACCAGTTTATATACCAGTTTATATACCAGTTTATATTCTCGTCATCGAAGTACCTGTTATATGCAAAATACAAGTCTGGAGTGTTGTGTGGGGAGAGATGGGAGTTTGTATACAAGCTCAGTATAAACCGTCATATACATAGCTGGATAGTGTTGGGTCTGTTGCCAACGAGCCTGAAAGCTTGGCTGCTTGAAGGCCGGGTAAGCGGGTGCAATGATTATTGAAAAATAATGAAAATCATAGTGTACCTTTAGTGTACCTGGTGCCGTTGCTGGCTTCACTTCAGTGTTCATATCATTGTACTTTCTATCGACGCACACTTTCTATCGACGCACACTTTCTATCGACGCACATACCCAATCTGCGGACAGAACTGTTTCGTCCTTTGTGGACTCATCAGCGCGCTAGCGGACTCCTCAGCGCAGTACAGAGAAAATGGGGTCAAACCTGTTATCAATGGAAATATATTTTCCAAAGCCAGATTTTAACCACCTGTTGCCCAATGAGCTACTTCGGACTAGTGTAGTGAAGCACGGATCCACTCTGCTTTGGCCACCCACACTACATGATTGTACTGAAGACAAGTGAAGTATAGCAAGTTTTATGTTCACTGGGGGCAGGGGTAAACTTTATAATGCAGTTGGTTCAAGGGCGGATACCCTGATGCCCTCAATCCTTTTTTGCACCTAGCCGTCACCCACTTCTGAGCCTGAGGTGTGCATGCCATGGCATTTATAGTGGGATCATTTCCAAGTCCACCCAGAGTTTGGGGAGTTCAGCCTTCAGGGCCATCACTATCAGCCGCTGGGCGGTTCGCCAGTACTGAGTCATCTTTGCAAGGGTGAATCCCCGGCAACGCTGGCTCAAAACTGAGCAGGCCAGGGAGGGGTGCATTCTTGATCTTGCAGGTAACTGGATTGCCGGGTGGACAGACTCAGTTCGATTGACTTCTCGTGTGCTCTGTAATGTATGGCACGGTCGCGAGTTCGGTCAAGTGTCACTGAGCGTCGCAGTGAGTGTCAGGTTGGTGGGAAGAGAGCGATGGCGAGCTCCAGGGTTGGGAGCAACCAACTTTCTTCTTCTTTTCTTTCCTTTACTAGCAAACATAGCGGCGCCCTACTAACAATCGGGGAAAGAGGACAAGTTTTTAGAGAAGTGACACTGGATAAAAAGACAAGGGGGAGGGGGGGGGGGCGATGTGCCGATGTGGTTGGCGAGGCTCATCCGACCAGAGCTAGAGGTGGTCTGTGGTCGATGAGGAAGCAGACTGTAATACGATTTCCTGGCAAAACCGGGAAGCAAAGGAAAAAAAAGAGTAGATCGACCACGATGGGACTCGAACCCACAATCTTCTGATTCGAAGTCAGACGCCGTATCCATTGGGCCACGCGGTCGTACACATTTCTACATAATTCTCTAACCCACTCTGTCAGTATGCATGGTGAATGGTTTTGAACGCTTGTGGCTCAATGTAGCTGAACCATCGGACCTTATTTGTCAGCTTGGATCACGTGATCTATCCAGCTGCCGCGTGCGGCAAACAGCCCAAATAGCGCTAACTCTGGCCTGCGAGCGTTTGCTGCGACTAGCGCGCTAGCGCTCGTGACATACACAAACGCGCTAGCCAGAATGCTTTGACTTTGATGGCTTTCAGCTTCTATTTTTTGAAAAGTAGCGCGCTCAGACCAGCTCGCTCACTCTTTTCCTCTTCCATTTTTTAGGGCAATTGTTTTGTTTGATAGACGAAGCTTAGGGTCTCTTTGGGTTTGCAACCCTTACCCTCCTGGAAAAAATCATAGTTGCTAGACTGCGACACTTCAGACCAGGTACTATTAGAGCCGCTAATGGACGACGAGCTATTTTCCGCTATCCGGAGCTCAAGCATTTGGGCCGCTAAATGGACGAGACTCCTGCGGCAAAGGATGCAGAGAATGAGGAGAAAACACTCGTATGGAGCAGGGAGTAGGTATTGTACTACTTCCTGGCATGGAGCACTGAGAAGCGGTAAGTCTTAGGGCAATTCTTAGCCAGTAATTACTTTCTCGCCATAATTATGTTCTCGTTTTTCGTGTCTTCTGTAATGCCAGTACACTAGCAGTACGACTACACTGTAGGCGAGAGTCCATAAGCCAGAGTGTGCAGCTCTCCATCTCTGCAGCATAAACAAATTAATGACAAATTTCCTTTGCCTAAGGGCTGGGTTCCACTGCCGCTCCGCCGCACATCATCCACGGCATGAAACGTCATCATTACGAGCTGGTCCAGCGAGGCCGCGGCTCATCACCAGCTTTCGCTTCGCTGCTTGATACAAAAAAATGCAAGCCGCGGTCACGGCTTGCATTGTTTCCCGCACTTAATTGTTTTATTCGGGGGAATTTTAATTCGTTGCACAGGCCAGAACACGAGGATTTTTTTGGATTTCACGCGCGCGCAGGCAGGCTAAATGTCATCAAAAAACGTCGAGCACGATCGCGGTACCGTGAATGGCGAGTGTCACTGGAACCGCGCCGCTCTGCTGCATGCAGCCAAGTACCGTGGAGCAGCGGAGCTGCGGAGCCGCAGTGGAACCCGACCCTAACCAAACTTATAGCAATTTGAAAATGTTTGACAATTTTTCATAAAAAACTTGACAACATTGTTCTTCTGTAGAGTGCCGCTGGCAACTCCATCGATGAACTCCATCAATGAGCGCAGGGATAAAGTTTAGAAACCCTTCGAGCGAGAACGTGTTTTCAAAAAGGAAGCACAAATATGCCGCGTAACTTCCCCTCTAGTATGGCCCCATCAAAGCCACTCGCTGACTACTTACCAGTAAAATGGGGTTGGACGGTTGTCAGATTAGCTGATATGTTTTCTGCCAACACAACCATAAGCAGTTGTCAACTCTCAAGACTAAAAGAGCTTGCGAAGAAAGTGAGAAACCTTGGCTATGAAAGCACATGAAGCGTCAGAACATAATCGAGCAAACTTGGACCTAGATTACCAGTGTCTGCTCCAGAGCCGGGTCAGTGACCCTGTTCGTGAGTACTTGGACCCTTTGGAAAAAGAACACTGGGTTACCTGCGACCCGGTCGGAAGTCCTGTCGAGTACTATACTTTTTTATACTTCGAGGGTATACCGCCACTGACAGGCTGCATACGCGTGCAGATGCGTGCGGCCAGAGTGCCCAGTGCGAGTACGTTCATACATGTACATGTACAATCATGTACATCAGGAAGTCGAAAGTAAGTTTACGACTCCCTGACACACAGTAGCCGCACTTGAACGCATCTGGCTCTGGCCCAGTGTTGCAGGAGTTGTGCCAGGTAGACGTGTACCCGGTTTGTGTTAAATCCTAGAGCAGGTACTGCATACCCTATCATATCTGTGTACATGGGTATACAGAGTCAGTGTTGTTGCGTCCCACTCAGCACCCTTCTGGTTCATTTCGGCACCAGCACTCTTTGCGTATGCAGAGCTGAGTAGAGTGCAAGTTCGGACCACAAGTACACTGTAGCAGCTTGTAGCAAACCTAACCTGTGCCGTTATGCACGGTACTTGTGTGCATCTACTTCATCCCTGAGTAACACACCTGGTATATGGTGCACAATAGGGCACAGTAAATAATCAGCATGCATCGCAGTTTTCTGCAACATATTCCTGAAGTCACTTTACACCTCAGAAGAATTGCGTCGCTGACTGGAATTCGATACCGGTTTAGTTTCTCTCTGGGTCATTATGAATCATAGAAAACCCGTCATAGAATAGGTCCAAGCTAAAGTACCGTATCACCATGGTAATTCCTGGAAATTCGGTGTGTTTTCTGCCTTTTGTTAAACAAGCAGCAATGTGCAACAGAAATTACCATGGTGATACAGTAGATTACCGTGTGAAGCGGTGTGAGATGCAGCAAAGGTGAGCCTGTTACTGTGAGTCTATGCCCTAAACAATAAACTTTGCCGTGGGATGATTATCCTTGGGCTGCACACTCTGCACACTTATTGCTAGGTATATCATTGGTCTTGTTCGGATCGTCCATTACGTTTGCAGCTGTTCAAACTTGTTTTGTTGTGTATTACTTTATTGATTTATTTATTCTACTTGCCTTTCCTATCTTCTTGTGTTTTAGCATTAGGCGATTTGATCGCAGGACAAGAGAGGAGCTGATGGACGATCTCTCCAATGTTCCTCTTGGTTCGGAGCGGCGCCGAGTGCTGACGTTGGGACTTGGGTAAGGATGAGTGTTCCCTCATGTTTACAAGTTATCCGTTTTGTCCAACACTAACGGTTATATGCAGAATACTG